CAGACCGTGAAACTAAACCTCGCTGGTACCGTCGTCGACCAACCCGTTGGCCAACACCGCGACCGTCGCCCACCGCCGCCCACCGCCGCACCTGCTCGCAGTTGACGTCATTGTGGCCGCTTTCCTTTCCGCCGCCGTATACACCCACCACAAGGTCGCACCACCTCGAATTCATCAATCATCTGCTCGCCTGGAGTCCGAGGCACAGTCGAGCGCCTCCTCCGCACCTGACGTCCGGCAGAGGCATGGCGGAGGGAGCTCGTCTCGTCCATCGTCCCGGATGCGTGGTCCGTGTTGGACACCGGCGGGAGAAACGCCGTACGCACCTGTCGTCCGTCGGATCAAACTCCCCCGCATTCCCCCCGTTTTCCGGCGGTGCTGTGCCTAGATGTTGGGTTTTATTTTTTGGAAAATTAGATAATTTTAAGGGGCCTAGTTGCAATTTATAAAATTTGATTATATTAAAATATACTCCATGTGGCAAAACTGAATGAATACTAATCAATGCACATGCTCTGCCTAGAAGCTAACATTGAAACAAACTAGACATCAAATAATAGCTACAATTAAGGCTATGTTTGAGCCGTTCAAGTAATTGATCCCGTCATAATTCATACTCAGTTTGATTTATTTATTAAAATTATGAAAATTGAGTTTTCGCCATTAGAAAATGTAAGTCTTAAAAAAATGCACTATTGCAAATAATTATTAGGAATGTTGAGTTTGCAACAGTTAATTCATTAAAATTGTACAATGTTATACATAATATGAAATTCATGTGTCCAGATTGCACAATATTTATAGACTATATACACATTTTTGTTTTGGATAACGCACACTATCATAATATATTATACACAAATGTCCTATTCTGACAAAATGAAAAGTACAGTGTTACGAATTCCTTATTTGCGTGAAATAAAAACAAAATAATTATTGTTAAATGAATTACACATTAATACCATTAGATTGCACAACAATAGTGGAAACAGTAGGAACTAATTTATTTTTGTGAATTTTTATGTTGATTTGATTCTTTTTTTTTTCACTTTTTAAATTTTACTTATACATATTATTTATCTATTAATAGACCATCATATAAAATATTAAATAGAAAATATAAATACTAAATATATTTTTTATGATAAAAAAAGATAAATGCAAAACTAATGATATTTTTTATATTTACTAAAATTAGTTTTCGAATACACATAATTTATTAGAGATTATATAAAGTAGTGCATTTTATATAACAGCACGCCGCACTTTATAAAACATCACGATGCACTTTATAATATAACACAGTTGTACTTAATAAACAACACGATGCACTTTATAACAAATATAAAAATATTTAAATAAATAATAATAATAATAATAAATAGTAAATTATTTCAATTATTTATACTAATTCGATGTACAATTTTATCTAATAAATCTAGTTTTTTTAAAAAAATACATAATTTATACATTATCGTCTAAAGTAGTACACTTTATATATCAGCATGATGTACTTTATAAAAAGAATTGTTGCACTGTACTTTATCAGCATGATGTACTTTAATAGTATGGATCATACTATTAAAAATGCTTGCAATCGGATGCACATTATTGCTATATGAATTGCACTTTCATGACTATTGGATTGCACATTTTAGTCTACACAATGCACTTTATAAAATAACATGTTGCACTTTATCACCACACTGCACATTTAATGCCAATACTAAAAAAAATAATAAATATAAACGTTGAAAAATAAATAAAATTTTATAATATAAATAATAAATCATATATATTATTTAGATTAATTCGGTTAATAGATCAAATAAATCAACCAATTAAATCGAATTTAGTTTGGTGTGGATCATACTATTAAAAATGGCTGCAATCGGATGCATATTATTGTTATGCGAATTGCACTTTAATGACTATCGGATTGCACAGTTTGGTCTAAACATTGCACTTTATCACCACACTTCATATTTAATATTAATACTAAAAAAATATTAAATATAAATGTTGAAAAATAAAAATAATTTTATAATAAAAACAATAAATCATATATATTATTTATATTAATTCGGTTAATAGATCGAATATATCGACCAATTAAATCGGATTTAGTTTGGTGTGGATCATACTACTAAAAATGCTTGGAATCAGATTCACATTATTGTTATACGAATTCCACATTTCATGACTTACAGGTTGTACAATATCGATGTGAAACTTAATATTATTATTATTTATATTTTTTTATTTATCGATGTGCACATTATGTTTATACGAATTGCACATTAGTGACTATTATATTGCACAATTAAACGAAAATGACAAAACCAAATTTTTCGCTACGTAAAAATTATATTTTGAGTTTGATTATTATTAATTTATTTTTTACTTTTAAAAAACTCGATTATTTTGATTTGATGTCATTTTTTATTTAAATGACATAAATAACAGAACGACAAAAAATATATAAAAAATAATATATATTTTTTTATATATTTCGGTCAATAAAATGAAAATATATTAAATAATAATTATGTTTGGTTAATTATACATTTGAATAAAATGAAAATATATTAAAATAATAATTATGTTTGGTTAATTATACATTTGACCTATAGACCTAATTGTAATATATTATACTTTATAATTAATCATACATTTGACCCATATACCTAATTGTAATATATTATTATACTTTATGAATTTGCCACTAAGACCTTAAGAAATATCAAATTTTCAAACATCAACCCACAAATCCATGTCTACANGGAAAAAAAAAAAAAAAAACAGAGCATCCAACCCGCCTGAACCACGGACATCTTCTGTGGTGGAAGCCAGGGGAAATGCCACCAAGAGAAGAGGAGAGGACGCAGCTTCACCGACTAGGCGAAAGTAGCATTCCAGCATCGTTAGAGGAACTACCCTATGGTATTGCCGCCGCTACCTCCGCCCTGTGAGAAGACGAAGGTTGTGTACTGCCTTGCCGCCGCCGTTGTCATCTGCCTTGACTGACAAAGTTCGCCGTTTTCATGGTGCCATGGAGGACGTCGTCGCCGCTGGAGAAGAGGAAGTCCGGCGAGAGGTGAAGTCCGTCTCGAACCCGTCGGAGGCGAAGAGGTCGACCACGAGCGCCACCATTTTTCACGTCCGCCGGGATGTCGACGAAGCTAACCGGCGGAGACGCTGTCGGCGGCGAAAACAGGCTATTTGGTTGAGAGTGTGACGCCGGGTTTGATAAGCAGCGGGATACCGGCGGGCGGTGGCTGGCGGCAGACGGCGCTGGCGGTCGGCAGGCAGTGGTTGCCGGCAGAGCGAGACATATGTGCGTGTATGTGTGTGAGAGAGGAGAGGCTGTTTGGTGCGTGTATGTGTGTGAGAGAGGAGAGGATGTTGGTGCGTGTATGTGTGTGAGAGAGGAAAGGGTGTTTGGTTTGGTGGTAGGGGGGCCCACACGTAAATGATGGTGTAATTGTGTGATTATCATTATGCCCTTATTTAGTGGTTAATTGTGTACATGTGACCACAAATTGTACACATATTTAAAGAATTGCCACAACAGGTTTGACTCCATGTTTAATTTTTGACTTCATCATAATCATTGATATGTTAAATCTCTAATGGTACATATTCTTTCTTATTTCTTTCACTATCTACCATTTTCATGTGATCTCAACTCTTAAAGTGTTACAAATAGCTTTATATGTTAATAGCTAGCAAACATCTAATTTTATCAAACATACTTTATAATTCCGCTAATATAACTAGCTGATCAAAAAAGTTAACACAATCTGTTAATCGCTATAGCTAACAGTTGATTGTCAAACAAGGGTGTAATCCTCTAATTCAACTATAATTTATGCGGATGTGTGAGTGTTTTCTAATATGTAATTATGTATTTATTTAATTAAATTTATCGTTAAAAAAAAATCCATTGTTCACAATTATTTGTCACATGCACTTCGTTACAGTATGTACGCCATTGTAGGCTAGCAATTTAATCTACTTATTTATTCTATTTTATTTTATTCATTTCATCATATAAAAAAATCCATTGTGCACAATTATCTAGTTGCCACATGCACTTCGTTACAGTATGTACGCCATCGTAGCAATTTAATCTACTTTATTCTATTTTATTTTATTCATTTCTATCATATTTAAAAGTAGACGCCCGCAATATCCCGGAAACTCGTCGGATTTGTTGTTCCTAAATAAATATTGCTCGTGGAGCCCACTTTCTTGCATACATTATACATTTATACCGGAGGATTCCTACTGCCAACTCAATTTTCAACTTTGTGCTATTTGTTTATTAATATACACTATTTTTATTTTTTTTTGAAGGATATTAATATACACTAATAATTATGCAAAATCTCTGATTTCTCCATTAATGGAGATCCAGCCTCGCCAACGAGATCCATAGCCCATCTTTGGCCTTGCTAATTGCTATCATTCTCTTCACATACCTATTAAATTAAAAATCCCATTTTGCTTGCATCGTCCATAATTCATACCTTCCTTCTCTCTCTTCCTATCTCTCATGGCGTCTATTTCGACCCTGTCGCCACTTCCCCTGTTTACTTTTCCGGCGCCTTCTTTGTCACCTCTAAAAACCCCATTTTTCGGAAAATTTATCAAAAACCCATCAAGAAAACATTGTCAGAGAGTTAAAAACAACAAAGTTACCAGCTTTCTTGATTTGGAACCCAAGTCAAAACCAAAACCCCTGAATTTCGACCTCCCCCGGTTCAACCCTGCAGATCGGACCCGATTCGACGTGATCGTCATCGGAGCCGGCCCAGCCGGCCTCCGGACCGCCGATCTAATCTCCCAACACGGCATCAAAGTCTGCTGCGTTGACCCTTCACCCCTTTCCGCGTGGCCCAACAACTACGGCGTTTGGGTGGACGAGTTCCAGAGTTTGGGCCTCGAAGACTGTCTGGACAAGACATGGCCCATGACGTGCATTCACATCAACGACCAAAAAACCAAGTATTTGGACCGTGCCTACGGCCGAGTCAACCGGAACGAGTTGAAATCCAAGTTACTCTCCGGTTGCGCCGATAACGGCGTCAAATTCCACGCGTCCAAGGCTCAGAAAATCGAGCACGAGGAGTTCGAGTCCTCGGTCGCCTGCGAAGACGGGACCCGCCTTCGCGCCAGCCTCGTCGTGGACGCGAGTGGGTTCGGGAGCACCTTCGTCGAGTACGACAAGCCGAGAAATCCCGGTTACCAACTCGCACACGGCGTCCTAGCCGAGGTCAACGGGCACCCGTTTGACCTCGACAAAATGGTCCTCATGGATTGGAGGGACTCTCATTTGGGCAACGAGCCGTATCTACGCGCCGAAAATTACGAGCTCCCGACTTTTCTATACGTGATGCCCTTCGACTCGAACTTGATCTTTCTAGAAGAAACCTCGCTCGTGAGCCGTCCGGTTTTGTCCTACGACGAGGTCAAACACCGGATGGCAGCGAGGCTAAGGCATCTCGGGATAAGGGTAAAATCGGTAATGGAAGACGAGAAGTGCCTGATCCCGATGGGAGGTCCTCTCCCGAGGATCCCCCAGAGGGTGATGGCGATCGGGGGCAATTCGGGAATTGTGCACCCCTCGACGGGGTACACAGTGGCCCGAACGCTGGAGCTTGCCCCGGGGCTTGCTAGGGTTGTGGTGGAGTGTCTCGGGTCGACCCGGATGATCCGTGGGGCCCCGATGTGTCGGAGGGTGTGGGAGAGCGTGTGGCCTCGGGAGAGGAGGTGGGAGAGGGAGTTTTACGATTTCGGGATGGAGACCTTGTTGAGGCTCGATTTGGACGGGACGAGGAGGTTTTTCGACGCGTTTTTTGAGCTCGACCCGAGACTCTGGCAGGGGTTCTTGTCGTCGAGGCTGTCGATTGGGGAGCTTTTCGGGCTCGGGTTGTGCCAGTTCGGGAACGGGTCGGGCCTTGCCAAGTTGGATATGGTGACCAAATGCCCGGCCCCTATGGTTAGGATGGTGGGTAATTTGGCACTTGAAGCTATTTGATCTTGGGGGGAATAATGTAGTTTGTTTGTTTTATGAGTGTTTTTGTGACAAGTGAGATTTGTTATTAAAAATGTGGTTTTGACCATATTTTGGGATTTCATTTAGTGTAGGATGTTGTAATAAAAACTTGAGCATGTTTGTACAGAAGAAATTTCAAAAAAATTTCAATATTTTAACTCAACCCCACTATCATCAATATTATCAATATAATTAAATAATATCAATCAATCATTTATACACACCGCATCAACCTTAACTATTCATCCATCCACATTATTTTAACTAACCATCACTTCAAATTATATTTCTCTTACTTTTACATCAAATCAATTTTAATTATTTTATTTTAAATATTATTTTAATACACCCACTAACATCTAATCATACTACATTTTTCAAAATTAACCAAACCACTCAAAAAAAATCAATAAAACCAAAATTTTCATATCCAAACATGCAAAGAATTTTGTCTAGGTAAGATTAAAGTTGGATTCTGATCTGCTAACAAAGTGAAGTTCATATCACCAAACGGAATGGACTTGTTCATTAAATATAAAACCGAAATTGAACTAAATTAAAGTCGGTTGTCGATTGTCCCCACAAATTGGTTATGTTTTGATTATTTATCGAAACTACCGATTTAAAAGAAAAACTAACATGACAAGTTGACAGACAAGAGAAACTTTTTTTTTTTTCAACTACTACAACAAGCACTAGCAGCCCCTTACAAACAGGCTACACAGAGCCAAACAAAGAAAAGAAAAGGCTCAAGAAATTCAAGAGCCAAACTGAAAATACACACAAGCAAAAAACTTCAACACACAAGCTATATCTGAAGTTAATACATTACTGCAAGAACCAAACCCCAGCTTGTTGTTGAGTTTTGCCACCAGGCCTTTGTTGTCCAAGCAGAAGCACACAGACTTCCAGCTAGCTTGCACCGCTTTGAGCAAAGACCACCTCACAGCTTCAAGCCACATACCTTCTACACTTCCTGAAAACCACATCAGCTCCTTGAATATGAGAGTAGATTCCCCTTCCTTTCAGCTACACACTCCACAGAAATCTGGTAAAGAGAAGAAATATGGGCACTGACAGTGAGATATCGCTGATCTACCTGCTGCAAAAGTTTTCCTCACTTTCCTGATTTCCCTGTCTCTCAACTATGAGTCTTTCACTCAGTCTTTCAACCATTTCTTTCTTATCAGAGAAGCTCTCTTCTTGCATACGGAGGTACAAAATCAAACTACATTCTATGTAATTGAATGAAACAGGAATAACTTTTTTTTTTTTTTTTTTTTTNTTTTTTTTTTTTTTTTTTTTTTATCAATTGTTGAATTCTAATATTAACTTATGCAAAGCTAAAATCACTGAAGATATCATGTAATTTATAGAATTGATGTCATGTACTTTGTAGAAATTGAAAGATTGTGTTAGCAAGTGAACCCGAATCTTTCATTTATGAGGAATTAATAACTTGCTCTTCAATACAGGGTTTCCATAATATACCCTTCTAGAATCTAGGGATATATATGTTTAAATAAAATTATAGTGTTAATACCATTAAATAGCCAAATAAGTTTTCAAAACACAAATTTTAGCCACCTTTTGTAAAAATCATCCTTTTTAGCCATTTTGGCATGTGTTTTTACTCAACTACCTCTAACTTCAATTTTTCAATTCAATTTTTCTTTTCACATCAAATTTTCATTTTACCCCCAAAATCTAATTTTCATTTTATCATTCCCCCCAAAATTGCTCTCTCCTCTCGGTGCAATTTTTCTCTCCTCTCCGGCGACCGCTGCTCCTCTCTTCTCCCACAACTCACGCTCCGACGCACCTGCTCGTCGCCCCTGCTCCATCGCACTGCTCCGCCGCTCTGCTCCGCCGCACCTGCACTGCTCAGCCGGCTTCCTCACCCTCTCATTGCTTCTCAAGGTGCGGCTGTTTAGTTGTTTAGGGTTTGATTAGGGTTTTTCATCTTCTTTTTTCTTCAGTAATAGAATGATGTTTTTGGTTGAAATGTACTTTTTTCTTCAGTAATAGAATGATGTTTTTGGTTGAAATGGGGAGGTATCGAATTAGGTTTTTTATTAGGGTTGAATTGATTATGGTTTTCTTCACTGATTTTAATGGGGTGCTGAGGTTCACTGGTATAGAATTAGGTTCACTGATTTTTCTTACAGTGACAATTTTTATTGCTAATATTACCTTTTTATATTCGTATATGATGTGCTTTAACAGGTATTAGATATTTTGTTCTTGGGATTTGTTTATGAGGTGTTCAAATTGATGATGCAGTTGAATAAGATGAGGAAAAACCATCAGATTTTTTTTTGATTTATTAACATTTTTTTTCTAACCTTTACTTTTATCTAGGTGCTTAGTTTGAATGTAAAATCTCTGGTTTTTGCAAACATGATATACTTGATGGTGGTGTGGATGAACTTATGCTATCGACTTTGTAAAAGAATGATGTTTTCGGTTGAAATGGGGAGGTATCGAACTTAAGTTTGGTTGCTTTGTGCTGCAGTTCACGAGAGACTACAATATCAGCACCTACTTTGTTGAGAAAAATTACTATTTATTTTCAGATCTTCAATGCAGTTTTAATATTTACATCTTTAAAACTTAAAGAGTTTGTTTTTATTTCTTGCGTATAAATCTGGCCAGTAAAGTCTCTTACTTAATTTCTATTTTGTTTTTTATATAAATGTGTAAATATATGTGTAAATATTTGGTTGACTGTAATTTTGGGGTTGAAAATTAAGAGATATTGACTGATATTAACATGTACAGATTATTCATTTTTCCTTCCACAATCACAGAGTGCATCATAATGACTTCTCCTACAANATGTTTCATTTTTTTGTTTACTTTGTTTGGTTAACAAATAAGGTTATACATTTCTTTCTAAATTATGTATTTACTTTGTAGTTGTATTAACTTTAATTATGTTGAACATCACAGGATAATAATTGGAAATGGAGGTGGGATAGCTCTTGTAATTGGATCGGTAAAGTGAACTGTCATACGAAGCCTGAGGTCATTCACCATATCAAAGAAAGGCTATCATCCAATCGTCTGGAAGAGTTTGAACGCTCTTGTTTTGGTCACTTTTTGAAATTCCACGACAATGCTTATAACAGTGGCAAATTACTTTTGGCACTGTTTGGGAGAGAGGTAGAAGTTGACAACCCTCCGGAAAGAGAACGTTATTATCGGATTGGTGGTCGCAATCACAAGTTTGGAAGGAAGAGTTTTGTGCGATCACCGGGTTAAGATTCGGCAATTCGGACTTTGACCCGGATACCAATAAGAGCTTCCCACCGGCTAATGGAGTTTACCGTCGATATTTCGACGGTAAGATTGTGCTCGGAAAGGATTTGTTGTCTAAGTTTGTTCAAAAAGAATTTGAGGAGGATGATGTTTTCCAAGGATTTAAGGAGGACGAGGCTCTTAAAGTGGCTTTCATCCTCGTAGTCTTCTTCTTCATTCTATCCCCAGACTCCAGGACGTTGGTGCCATTGTGGTTGTGGACACTGGTTGAAGACCCAACGAAATTTGAGGGATTTCCCTGGGGTTCATACGCTTTTCAGCGTCTTCACTACTGTTTAGAAAATGGGATTAAACCGCCGGCTGGTGGAGGCAAAGTGCAGTTGAATATCTGCGGGTATGTCATGGCACTTCAGGTAAATGTTAAATTATTTTTTTCATCATTTCATATTATTGTAATGGTGCGGTGTCATTATTAACTTTGTTTCTTTTATATCTTTCACACAGATCTGGGCTTGTGAATTATTTCCCGAAATTTTAAAGGATTGTGGAATGTCACGGATAGGTGACAACCTTCCTAGGGGCGCCCGATGGACATGTGGAAAGGTGCCATTCAATCGTGCTAATGAACTCGATAATGCTGAGGTAATTCTTGGTTTCATTAAAAATCAATTTCGTATGAAGTGCATGTTTAATCTAAAAATCTAGATTTGTAGATTGATTATTTGTTATATTTTTTTGTGCTAGATTCCATATACACCTATGGTGTTAACGGCCGAGGAGAGGAACACCTCTTATATGGTGGACATCAACAGAGATTTATCATCGAATGTTCAATACAATCACCGTGATCCGTGGGTGAGCAACTGTCAACCACTGTCGATGAAAAAGTTTTCGGCCAAAATGCATGGACGGGGGTTGAAGACAATGCGACCCTCAAAGAAGGCCCATTTTGCAAACAATCCGGATATTTCTGAAGAAGATGAACATATACCGCCAGCAAAAAGAAGAGCGCATGTTGTGCCGGAAAGACCACATCCAGTTGCATTTGAAAGAGCAGCTGGATCGTCTACCGGAGTTGACGAGGCGAAGATTGAAGATGTTGTCTCGAAAAAAATTGAGGAGGCTTTTGCTAGGATGTTCCCTCGGTTTGTTGACGCGGCGGTTACCGAGGTGATTAAACGATTAGATGATTATCTAATTGTTCGAAGCGTGCCTCGTCCTGGATCTGAGGATTTGGAGACCGTGAAGGAAGATTTGGGGAAGGCTGAAGAATGGAGGCAAGAAATAGACCATTCCAACAAAAAAAACTGATTTTGTAAGTTTGTATTATCTGCAACGCACCCTTATTTTGTTATCCAAAAGAAAAAAAATGATTGTTTACATCCTTAAAACTTGTTTTGCTTTTTAAATTAGTAATATTTTTTATTGTCTGAAAATGTTTAAAAACTATTGGCTGTAATCTCAATTCTTTCAAACTGTTCCAAAACACAGGTAGTTGAGTCCGGTAGTCATGGTGTTCCACGTGAGGATGTTGAGGATGTTGTGGATGAGAATGAGGGTATTGGCAAAGTTGGCCCCTCACAGGATGTAGCTGCTATGACTCCAGATCCGACAAAAGGAGGTGGATACACGGATGGTGATGGTGCTGGGGTTGGTCGAATATTACGCGTTAAGTTGAAAAATAGCAAGCTTTCCTCACCATTCGTTGACTACCGGGAGACGAAAATTGAGAAGCAATTATGGGTGAAATACGAAAATTGGAAGAAGAACAAGAAATCTCCAATGTAAGTAGCATGTCATTGTTATATCCTTAAAATTCATAGCATATGTGTGATTTCTCTAAGTTAGATTCTCTTAACATGAACCCATATTTCTCTTTTATTTATTTTTTTGTTAGGTTAAACGTTGGGCTAGAACCTACTTGGTATCAAGGGCCAAAATATTTTAAAGAAATTGAGAATGTCAAGAATATGCTTTCTAATGAAGTAAGCAATTGTTCTTATATTTCAATCTCAGTACTCGAATGTAGTAGTTCAAAAAATTAATATAATTTATAATTTTGTAGCATATCGATCCCTTTTTGGACGTGCTTTCTCGGAGGTTGTACAATGGGGTAAAATTGAAGTCGGGAGTATCTGCTTCAAGAATTAACATTCAGGATTGCACTCTATTTGTAATTGCTCTTTCCATTGATTATATTTTTTGCTTAATTAATTTATATTTTCTTGAATGATTCATGTTGATGCTTAATACTTATTTTCAGCGCTTGTTGTCTCATCAATGGAAAGTGCTTCATCCCGAGGATCCTCAATGTAAGCAGAGCTATCCAGATGATGCAAATTATGAGAGATGGAATGTTCCTCCGGTTCTGGTCAAATATGTTCGTGGTACTGCAATTCGTTGGGGATCTCCTTGGCATACAAATCCCGATGTAAGTTTTTCTTTTGTTTTTTATAAAACCATGTTGTTATAACAGAAAAAATTTGCTATGTGATGTTGTGTTAATCATTGGTAAATTATGTTGGATGGTATGAAATGTTCTTGTAACATTTATAACATTGTAGTTTTGCGACTTCGGATGACAGGTCATTTTGGTATGTAATGTTGACGAGCATTGGGTGGTGTGCCGAGTACGGTTATTGGACTGGGAGATCGACCTTTACGACTCCTTTAGCCACCTTTCATCATCGAAGGCGTGTAATGACCGAGAGCTTATGTTGACCCCTCTCCGACGACTACTTCCCACACTACTTCACCGGTCCGGTTACTTTAAAATTATGAATATTCTGCCCAAGTTAGATGCCTTATCGATTAAGAGAATGCCGAGTGAAGTTCAGTTTGTTCAAGAGGATATCCATAATTGTGGTGTATTTGCTTGCATGTACGTTGAACGCATGCTTGGCGAGAACATTCCCTGGAAGCCGGACATAAGTTTATATAGACGAAAAATGGCATTAGCAATTTTTGGTCATGGTATTCCCGTGTCGAAGTAGTGTCATTAGTTGGGGCTTTTTTTGTGTATTGCCATTGCAAATTGTAGTGTATTTGGTACTTTGACAATTGTGGTCTATTTGGGAAGCTAATAGTTCTTGATGTTTTTTATAATGTAAATATCTAGTTTATCAAAGGAACCTCAAGAGCATTATCTCATGTTCAATTTAGCTGAAATTAGGCCTTGACTATTAGCTACTGCTCTTTACAGGGCTCATATAGGTGTGCACTTGTTTTCTTTTGGTCATTTTCATTGTTTTCTTTGTTCTTGTGAGTGTGTGGTGTATCTGGGTATTTGTGTTTAAATTATGAATAATAGAACAAAGATGGTTTAATTTTCACTTACAGTTTTTATACTTGCAACACAAGATGGGAAGCTAAATTCTCCTAGGAAGCTCTTTGTTTCTTTTTCCCTCTCTTTCATGTTGTTACCCTTAAATATTTTATTTGTGATCTACGATTATTATTAAATCAACATAATTTTTTTTTATTTTTTTTAAACTTTTCAGATCGACACTGTCAATCTATTTACGTACGTTGTCCTAAGGTTAACCCCACTTGCTCTATCCTCTGGAGTAAGTTCATGGACCAATTCACGCAAAGCAAGCACATCATGCAATACTAAATAAGAAGCAATTCCCTGAGTGCAGTCAACTTGGTAAATGTGATACAATAGTAACTGACTTGAACTCAGGGGTCTAGTTTAATTCATATGAATGTATTATGTTTGAAGAAAAATTACCATAAACACACAATTGAAGCAATTCCCAATCCCAAGGGTACAGACTGACGTAATGAGCTTAAAAAATTTCAAGGGCAAAACATCTACCATCATTTTCCGACATCACCATAGCAAATCAACATAAATCACCAAATCAGTAGCAAAACATCATACGGGGTTCTTACATAGAAGATCTCACTACATCACCCCATCTAAAACACAGAAATAAAAGCAACACCTTAGAAGGCAAGTCACTGGTCACCAACCAAAACACACAAAATTAAAAGTAACATCATAAAAGGCCAAGTTACTGTGCACCAGGAGCATCAGGAGGAGGAGGGGGGTTGGTGTAGCCGGTGCCAAAGCTTCTGTCTGTGTCCAGTCGAGCATCAATCTGATCCTGGCGCGATCGGATGGCTTGGAGGCTAATATTCAAATTGTCAAACTGGGCGTTGATGTCTCTCATGTCTCTATCGTAGCGGACTTCAAATACGGACCACCACGGCGGCGGTTGCGTCCACCACGTCGGCGGTTAATACGACCATGCCGGAGGCTGCTGTGGCGGCGGTGACGGCACTTTGGGGTCAGGGATCGAGGCAGGAGTCCAACGTGATGGAGGCGGGAGATGGTGCTCCTCGTCAATAATCATCTGCTCTCGCGTCTCCTCCGCCGCGTGTGTGTCCTCCTCTTTTTCAGCTTGATCGGTCACCGTGCCTGCCTTCAATTTCCCAGAACTGTAAGATAAGAAAGTCGGGCGCAATGTGTGATCTCGAAAGGTGTGACGATCCACAATGAAACCAGCATGATAGAGCTCATAGTAATCGATACGAGCCATCTTAATTGGAGCGCTGCCCGACGCCTGTGGGTTTACATTGAAACGTTTGGCCAGAGCCGTGACAATATGCCCCATGCATGGATACGCAGTTTTGCGTTGGATGATGTCCAGAAAGGTGTGACGTAGGGCAGTGAACATTGCCGGTCGCTTTCCTCTGAGCATGCACCAAATTAGAACAAGCTGCCAACGACTGACCTTGCTCGCTTATTTTTTACCGAAGATGCTGTAGCACAAAAATTTATGAATCACAACAATTGCACTCTCCTTAATCAACCCATTTGGAAGACCAGAGGAATTCCAAACGGTGCCCGGTGCGATCTCGGGCCAGAATTTATCGGGAGAAAACTCTCTGGTGTCCTATTTCTCGCCCCACTTGTAATCTGTTATACCGAAAACACGCTCAATTATTTCCCAGCAAAAGACACATTTCTTTCCGAGCAGACGGCATTCCATATACTCTGATCTTGTTCCTTCTTTTTTAAAGGTGAGTGTGCTGAAAAATTCTAGTGTGAGGTTGTCGTACGCCGGCTCGTCCATATTGGCGTATTTTGTCAATCTGAGTGTCTCTGACCTTCACTAAAATACCGAGATCCTCCAATAACTTGAAGTCGAACGACTTCGGTTTGATCATCTTCTTTTGAGAGAGGCGACGGTAGGTCTCCCCTTCTATGTCTGAAAATATAGCAAAAGGGGCATTATAAACCGCCCGGAGATCCGTCGGTTCACCCCCCACAGCTTGAGACGAGGATTCGCCTGCCTTCCGCTTGCCCGTCGCTGAAGTTCTCACTTTCGCAGCATTTCCTTTGCTCCGAGTTGAACGTCTTGGTCCCATTTTGGAGTTGGAACTCGTTTAGGAAATTCGTCAAACACCTTGCGGGCGGAACTTTGGCCTAGAGAATGGTTGAAGATTTGAAACTACAAAATCCAAAAAACTCACATTCTCAGCCCAAGAGCATAACACATGATGGTTCAGCACAACTACAACAAAGAACACAAAATCAACTTGGATATTTAAACAAACTTAATAAATCTAGCAAGCCTTTAAAAACAAGTCTTAAGATTAGATCTAATATATAGATAACAGATATCTTCACATCAGAATTACGCAATATAATCAATACACTTCTACAATTGTTGTTGAATCATACTTCACAAAAATTACATGATTTAAAAACCACATGTCACCAGAAGAAACAGAAAAACGAAACAATCCCAAAAATTGAATCTTTAAGCTTAAGAAATACACTCAGCCACACGAAACAAACAAGTCCCATAAAAGAAAACATCTAAGGACGGTCGCCGTAAAAGGAAGTCTAACAGGTCAGAGCATGGAGATTGCGGGTCGCGACGGTGCTCGGTTGGGTTCTTCGTCACGGGAGGTCAGAGCTCGGCTATTGCGTGTCGTCGTCGGAGGTTGAGACTGCTCGGTGAAAAGTGAGCCATCGGGAGAAAATAGCAGTCAAAAGTGAGAAGTGAAAAGTGAGCCATCTGCCTAAGCGTAAGTAATAAATTGTCTGCCGCGAGTCGCGACCGTTACAGCGAGTCGCGACCCTGGAGGTGCAAAAGTGTTTAAACACTCTGTTGTTTACTGCGAGTGGCCCGCGAGTCGCGATATCTTCTCCGCGAGTCGCAAGTGTATCCGTGACTTGCGTGTTTTTTTTTTCAATAAACTATTTTTTTTAAATTACACATACATGGCATTACAATAGCATGTTTTCCCAGCACCACACACACAAAACTGGGCAATTTCACGCTCGACTACACCTAGATCGTTACAAAAATATAAAAACAAATAAATTACAAAACGATGATTACATTATCATAACAAAAATACACACAACAATTTGTCCCACAAAGTCATTAACCACACACAAAATCATTCATACAAATAACATCCCGATTATGTTTTGCCACAAAAAAAAAAAACATTCATTAACGATGATTACATTTGCACTTGTGTGCAAGTGCGTCTAGTATGGCCGGGTTGCCTACATATTGCACACCTACGAACTTTTATTCCTGGCGATGAAGCGATAGTCGAGTGATCAACTTGAGAGACAACACGACAACAAGTCGTGGAGTAATGCCCACGTTCATTACAACGTGTACAAAATGATGATTTTCCAGAACTTGAAGAAGGCCCAGTGGATGGTATACGGATCATCCTTGGTCGTCCGGCTTGTTTTGGATTATTCGGTGATTTCACAACCAATGCCCTAACCTCTTCCGGTAGAATCCACTCGCGTGGATGAGCAATGGGCATGATTATCGGCCCGTAAAGTCTGCGCAAGGTTGTTGTCTTGTAGTAGTCATATACATAGCCATATACCGATTCATTTGCAGTCCTAAAAATAATCGATTAATCAAGACACACAATATATTATTTTAATCAACAATGAGTATTATAAAAACAATAAAACAAACCATTACCCGATAGCCTTAATTGCATGTGGACATGGCAATAAATCAACTTGGAAGCGAAGGCAAGTGCACGTCTGATCATTTAGATTAACAACATAGTTATGTACCCCATCCTTGATTTGGTACACATGGTGACTTATAGGTGAAGATACGAACTTCTGAGCTTGCGCTTTATATTCCACCAATCTCTTTGATATTTGAAGAGGAACTTCATCATCAATTTTCTCCGCCTCAATCCGCCTCTCGTGAAACCATTGTTGCAAAATGTGTCTAATGCATTCAAACAAAGCACAAATTGGCAATCTCCGAGCCCAACGCACCGTATTGGGGAATACCTCGCATGCGTTCGAGGTCATAAAACTATACCGTCTAACATGACATTGACTACGTGCCCATCTATGAGGCAATGCATTCATTAACTCAGTCCATGCTTTGTCATGATCCCGCTTAAGCAGCGCCATTGAGTTGTCGTGAACGATAGGAGAATAGCTGTACGAAGCTTTCATGTATAAATGAACTACTTCACGACCAAACTTTCGAATATTTTGGCGTAAGTGGTACGTGCAAATAACATGAGTTGCTTCGGGGTAAACAACCTCCAAAGCCGACTTGATGCTTGGGTGACGATCAAAAACAATGACCAAATTTTTGGGACATCCAAATACATTACGAAGCATATGTAGAAACCACGCCCAAGCATTGTGCTCTTCCTTGTCACCTACACCAAAAGCCAATGGAAATATCTGCTCATTTCCATCTTTTGTTGTTGCTACGAACAGAATGCCTTTATATTGACCCTTCAAATGGGTACCATCAACCACAATCACAGGGCGACAACAACTAGTGAATCCGTTGGCGGCATGTAAGGCAAAGAATGCGTACTTGAACACATCGTCGTCATTTGTCTCATAGCATGTGGTGGTTCCAGGATTTTCTCTCATCAACATATGAAAATATCCAGGCAAAAGTTCCCACGATTTATTATGACCTCCATAAACGAAGTCATACGCGACATTATGAGACTTTAGTGCTTTGTTGTATTTAAGCGTAATACCATGATCACGCTCCAAGTCACTCATTATATCCCTCGGCTTTAATACCCGCCCTTCTGCAAGTAACTTTGGCGCAAATAAAGCTCCAATGATCTTAGAAGGCAACTGTCTAGGGGTTGAGCGACTCAGGTCGAGCATACATGTATGATGGTTGAATTTACATATTTTCCAATTATCATCAACCATTGCATTAGCACGAAGTAAAAATAGGCAGTCTTTATGCTTGCAGACAGACTCAAATCGAGATTGTGATGACCTTTGTGTTCGATACTCCACTT